CGCTGGCCCCTTTCCCCTTTCCGCCTCTAGCTTTGCCGGCTGCGCCGGACGGCGCTCGCTCCCGCTCCCGCTCCTGCTCCTGCCTCCGCGGCCGCCTCCGCCGGCCCCGAGCTAGCTCCTCTCCCGGCTACAGTTTTCTAGATCGAGTCTTTTTGTTTGCTATGCCTTAGCTGAAAATACTCTGGTTTTTTGGGTGTTTTTTTTTTTGCTCATTTTTTTCCTTTCGGTCCGGCACATCGAGCTCGTTTAAGAGCTTGACAAATTTTCCCCGCGTCCTTCCGCTCACGTCCAATTCGGCATTAGAGGTAATTAGAGCTAATTAAAGGCTTTGCAAGCCTTGAGGCTCTTTTAAAGTCCTTGGGGTTTTTTTCTTATACTTTTTCCTCCTGCCTTTCCTACTAGCTTTGTAACCAGGGCGCAAGCGACCCAATGCCTGTATGGGCATTTTATTTAGATATATATGTATATATCTAGCATATATATAATTATCTTTCTTCCTCTTTAGACCTCTGAACTCCCCTTCTCTCTTCTTCGCTCCTCTTCTAAGTTGCCTTCTGCCTTCTAACGTTACAAGAAACCTTCTCTCTTCTAAGTAGCCTCTTTTGCCAAGAAAATCTTCCCAACCTTCGGTGTTTTTCCTACCTTCTGGAAGGCTCCTACACGTTTTCCTTCATAAAAACCCCCTCAACTCGCCTTCGATTTTTAAGTTATAACCTCGGGTTTTCCTCTCTTCGGCTTTTCGCTGCATGAAGCAGGCTCTCCGCCCGTCGGCGCTTTGGAACCGGCCGAAAACCGGGTTAATTTTGCGCTTCCTCATCCCGAACTGGCATGAAGCCGAGTCCGGGACCAAAATCGCTCTTCACGCTCCTTTTTTGGTCCCTCGATCCTCTTTTACAACATTTATCTTCAATTCTAAGCTTGTCTTGTTTGCTTCTAAATACATCTTCGCTTACACTCTTGCTTTTTCTTTTCTTCAAAATTTCTCTTTTCAATTACTCTTCATTATTTTTAACGTGCTCTTCTATCTTTCGTTTAAATTAAAATTTAGCGTTTTTATCTTAACCACTAGCTCTTTTTTTTTTTTTTGCTGCTTCCTCTCTTGCACGGGTTAACAAACCGCCTTCCGGGGGCTTGTGAAAAGCCCCGTTTCCTCTGCTCCTTCACCCAAATCTCCGCTCACCCTCCCGAACCTAGCGGCTCCTGCTCCTTTCTTCCTTCTTCTCTTCTCTTCTCTCTTCCAATTTCCTCGCCTTTGCTTTTTTTTTTTTTTTTTTGGTTTAACTCTTCAGTTTAAAAATCTTCAGATTTCCTCCGCTAAAAGCATTTAATCGCTTTTTTTTTAATTTTTTTTTTTTAACGAACCCTAGTTAGATCTAATTTTTTTTTTTAAGGTTTCAATCTGTAATTAATATTTTTTAGGTTTTTTTTTTGGCTG